CCCTGCACTCATTTTAGGAAGTTGAGGGCCTGATCAGTCCTAGATAATATATATCTAAAATGTACCCAAAATTAATTTTAAAAATAAACTTGAAAAGAAATTAAACATATAAAATAACTCCCAAAATTCTCCTGTGCTCAGAGGAAGGGTTTTTAGAAGATGATCGGATCGTGGGAGCACTATATGTAGGCATCAATGGATTCACCCACCAATGAGCTCAGCAGCTGAGTGTGCTGCTAGGAGATGGGGCCTGGTTGGAGGCAGGTCACTGGGGGCGGGGCCTGGAGGGTATCTCCTTCCCTGGCTCCTCTCTTCTCTTCCTCGGCTTCCTGGCCACCAGGAGGTGAGCTGCTTTGCTCCACTATGCTCTTCTTCCATGCTGTTTCTGCCTTGATTCCATCCAACTAAGGACTGAAATCTCTCAAAATCTCCCCAAAGAGATAAGAGAGAGAATGAAGCAGAGACAAAATTAAGAATATAGCTGAATAAAATCTGACTCTTTAGCATGATGCTGAGGAATTCATTCAGAGTCCTGTTTCACCATGGGGCGTGACCCGCAAAGATTCATGTTGCCTCATAGCGAAGATCATTTCTCATAATCTAGAAAGCCCAGGAATCATCAAACAAAAGATCCAATACAGCAACCTTACAAATATTTTCAGAGGTAAAGAAGGATTTAAATCTTGAGGCTGTCAGTGCTCAATGAATACCTAGTTGATTAACCAAAACAGACTCATTCTTAGATACATCTTGGTGAAGTTTTGGAGTCCCAGTGATAAAGACAAAATCATAAAAACATCCAGAGAGAGAAAAAGAAATCACTCACAAAGGAATAAGAATCAAGTTCACAGCAGACTTGTCATTGAGCACCCTGCATGCTAGAAGTAAATGGGGCAATTATAAAAGATCTGCAAAAGAAAGGTTTTCAGCCTAAAATCCTAAATCCCACCAAACTGGAATTTAATTTTGAGGGTAAAACAAATATATTTTTTGATATTGAAGAATTCAGAAAATGTACTTCTTGTGTACTCTCTTTGAAAGAATTACTAGGGAACATTACACCAATATAATACAAAAAGTTCACAAGTAAAACATCCTATCTCTACTCAGAAGGGTGAACATCTAATAGTCTATTTGGAGATGAAAGGAAGGGAATATTATTACCTACATATTGTTAAAGTTAAAGGGTACATTTTAAAAAAAATTAATGGTACCATCGTAGTTTGTATTGGAGTTTTTTGTTTGTTCATTTTGTATTTTTGTGTGTGTGCTAGATATTGACCCAAGCACTTTGTGCTACCTCTAAGCTCATCCACAGCCCTTATTTTTTATTTTGAGACAGTATCTTGCTATGTCGCCCAGGCTAGACTTGAACTTGTGATACTCCTGTTTTAGCCTCTTGAGTAACTGGGATTACAGGTGTGCACTATCATGCCCAACTCAAGAGAAGGATATTTTATCATTTGTCATGATGTAAATCTTTATATTAAAACTCTTCTGTTAAAAATAAAGAAACCTCTAAAACCATGGGTCCAAATAAACCTCTCCTCCTTTAAATTGTAGGTACTTTTTCATTTTGTCCTAGGGACAAAAAAGTGACTAAGAAAATAGTCCTAATCTTTTTTTTTTTTTTTTTTTTTTTTTTTTTGAGACAGGGTCTCACTATGTAGTATAAGCCTTGAACTCACTTATATCGCCAGCCTCAAAATCATGGCAATCCTCCTGACTCAGCCTCCTGAGTGCTGGGATTACAGGCATGTACCACCATGACTGGTGTGGAAATAGTCATAATCCTAAACATCAAATCTAGACTTCTTGGTGCCTGGTAATCTGATTATCCCAGCACAAAAAGACTGTTTCAATGTTTGCTCTATGCAAAGGAAAAGCAATAGGGGAGGAGGACCTGTCCACTAAACTCAAACCCACTCTGCCTGGCTGATTGCCCGGGCCCTCCATGGGATGACAAGAAGATGGGAGACTACTCATCTTTTCTTTTATTGCTGACTGGAACTCATAGATTTCACTATAAAATCTGACCCTTTAGCATGATACTAAGGAATTCATTCTGAGCCCTATTTCACTATGGGTGGTGATCACAAAGATTCATCTTGCATTATAGTGAAGATCATCTCTTATAATCTAAAAAAAACAGGAGTCATCAAAAAAAGATCCAAAAGAGCAATTTTATAAATATTTTAAAAGTCAACAGAGCAATAACAACTATAAGCATAGTCAAAAGACAGATGACAGGCTGAGAATGTAGCTTAGGGTTAAAAGTATTTGGCTAGCATGCAGAAGTCCCTGGATTTAATCTCCAGCTACACACATACACACACACACAAACACACACACAAAGACAGATGACCAACTGGGGAAAATATTTGCAACTTATATCACAAATAGCTGATTTCCTAATATAAAGAGTACCTGAAAATCAATAAGGCAAAGACCAACAAAACCCAGTAGCTAAATGGGCCAATGATATGGATAGATCATTTATAGAAAGCAAATACAAGGGACACACTAAAACAAATGACTTTTAAACATATGAAAAAGTTATTTGAAAATACTAAAACCAAGACTCCATTTTTACCTCTTAGAATAATAGAGACCAAAATATGTGATAAGCCATAGTGTTGTCAAGGATCTGGGGAAACAGGCATCTTACTGGTGGCGGCATAAACTGGTAAAACTTCTAGAAGGACATTTTGGTAAAATCTATTTAAATTATAATTATACATAACCTTTTAACCAGTATTCCAGTTCTAGAGATTTATTCTAGGGATAGACATGCACATTTATGTACAATTGCAGCATTGTTAGTGGGAGCAAAATACTGTTATATTATCTGAAAGCAACAAGAATAAGAAATTTTATCTTGACAAAATGACTAAGCTGTTTTTACTCTGAACCTCAATATATACAAAAGAAGGCTATCTTCTATGGTGGTAATCCAATTAGGGTAAGAAGGAGGTTCAGAGAGAGGGCTGGAGACTGCACATTTTAGGCAGCTTTGGCAGGTCTCAAAATGCTCAAACACAAGTGGATAATGTGCTGCAAAATTAACAATGCCTTGCTTAGAACAAGGCTTTGCTCGAGCAGGCTTTAGACACTCCTTTAGCCCCCATCTGAAACCACAGAGTGGCAGGGGCAGCAGGGCGAAGAAAGAATGTTGCAGACCCACCGTCTCGACACAGTGACACGGGCTGGAGAGACAGCAGTCAGGAATGAGCAACTCTGGAGTCACTAACCCTTCTCTTGATGAGGAGGAAAGGCTAGACCAGCTCACACAGGCACACAAACGAACCCCTGTTGGGATCACAGGGGCAGAGGCAAAGGTCTGGCACATTGCTCTGGTGTCTTCCCCACAAGCATTTGAGCAAACAGGTTGTCTAGGCAGCAGGGTCTCTAGGAGACACTATTTGTATTGTGTCCCTTGTGAATGGTGCCCCTGGGGAGAGTATAATTTGGATGTTGTCCACTGGAAATAGACAGTGTGTCAGCTCTGCAGGAAAAGGTGCCCTCATTCAAAGGTAAGAGTGAATGAAAAGGGAAACAGCACAGATCTTTAAAAAACAGAAAAACAGTAAGAAAAGGGGCTGGGGATTTAGCTCAGCGGCAAAAGCGCCTGCCTGGCAAGCGCAAGGTCGTGAGTTCGGTTCCCGGTACCGGAGAAAAAAACCAAAAAAAAAAAAAAGAAAAAGAAAAAAAGAAAAACAGTAAGAAGAAAGTAGAAATCGATGGGGAAAACAATTGGCAGATAAAGAACACAAATCTTCCCACAAAGCTGGTGAAAATCATGCCCAAATAAATCTCCATGAGTTCCAGAAAGTAAGGAAAAAGTAATTTCTAGGGCTGGGGATATAGCTCAGCAGCACAAGCGCCTGCCTGGCAAGCGCAAGGTCCTGAGTTCAATTCCCAGTACAAAAAAAAAAAAACAAATAGGAAAAGGTAATCTCTATATAACAAGCACTGAAATAGAGATGGAAGGACTTAAAGGCATAAGTGAGAAGGTAGCTGAAGATGAAAATGAGTTGACTTTTTTTTTTCCATTTGAGGTAGAATTACATCCTTAAAACAAACCCCTTAGATGTATAGCATGATAACTTTTTAAGAAACCACACCTATGTAATTATCATTCTGCTGCAGATATGGAACATCACCCACACCCGAAGCTCTTTGGTGCCCTCTTCCAGTCAAAGGTAATTGCTGTTTTGATCTCTATCATTTACCATAATTAGTTTTACCTATTGTTCATTCTATATAAATGAAAATATGCAGTAGTTACTCCATATGTCCAGGTTTTCCACTTTACCTTATGTCTGTGAGATTCATCTCTACTGTTGTGGATAGTAGTAGTTCATTCTTATTTCAATATCATGTGGTATTCCATTATATGAATACGCTACACTTTATTTATCCATGAACATTTAAGTTGCTTCTAGTTTTTAACTACTGTGAACAAAACTGTAATGAATATTCTTGTACATCTTTTGGTGGATATAAGCATTCATTTCTGTTGGGAATATAAAAAGGAGTGACATTTTCAGGTCATAAACTATATATGTATTTAGCTTTGGCACCATTAAAAAGCTGTTCAAAGTAGGTGTTTAAACCAGTTTAAACCAGGATTGCATCCTCCACATCTTTATCTCCACTTGGTATTGTTAGTCTTTTTAGTATTAGCCATTCTACAAATGGAACCTCATTGTAGTTTTCATTTACATTTCCTTGAGGATGGATGTTTAGAAATGTTTCATGTGTTTATTCTTTGGGATGTACCTGTTTAAGACATATCCCATCCCTTATTGGATTGTCTGTTTCTTCCTTTCTGATATGAAGGAGTTTTTTATATATTCTGTGTAGGAGTCCTTTGTCAGACATGTACACAAATGTTTGGTAATTTTTGCAGTCTGTTTAGGAAATCATTGCTTACCTCAAAGTCATAAGAACATACTCTCATTTTGAAAAAGTGTTATTGTTTTAACTTTCACATTTAATTCTATGACTCATTTCAAATTAATGTTGGTATACAGAGTGACGCAGGGGCAAGGTTCATTTTTTAAATATATGTAGATATCCAGTTAAGTCTTCATTTATTGCAAACATTTTCCCCACTGAGTTATACTGAGACCTTTGTTATACTTAGAGGTTTTCACAGTGGGGGTCTTTTTAGCCCAGAGTGGAAAGTCACCCAGGACCAGATGAATGAATACTTCCTTGCGCCTCTATTTTGAATCCCATCATATTCACTGTGGCCCTGGCTCCTGACAGGGTCCCTGATGGAGAACATCCAGTGGGGAAGGGGTGGGGGTTGAGGAAGGTGGTGGTGAAAAAAAAGGGAAGCCAATTACCCTTCCTCCCTTCCCTGGACCATAGACCTTCACCTGTAGACTCCAGCTGAGGGAAGGGAGCAGCTTTAACCATTAGGTCAAGGCTCTCTGTGACTTAAAGTTACCATAGGGATAATTATCCCCTAAGACTGACCAGAAATGTGATGGGAGTTCTTGTGTTTTCACACAGGTAGGAAGGTAAGTGCTTCCTCCGCTGACAAGCTTTGAAGGACTAGGAGATGAAGTTACTTCAGTGATCACAAAGCACAGGACTCACTTCTTCAAGGAACCTGTTACACAAAAGGATTAGTTAAGCAAAGGTAAATTCAAGACTCAAAGTATGTAAATTTTTAAATTATTTTTCATTCAAATTATTACTTATCTTTAATGATTAGGAAGATCTACTAATGTACATTAAGGGTAGAGATTGATCAAAATGTATGTAGCATCTGGGTGTGGTGGCATATGCCTTTAATCCCAGCACTCTGGGAACCTAAGGCAGGAAGATTGCAAATTCAAACCCAGCCTGTACCACCTAATGATGCAGCAAAACCCTGTCTCAAAGTAGAAAAAAATTTTAAAAGGGCTAAGGATTTAGCTCTGTGCAAAGGCCCTGGGTTCAATCCCTACCCAGTACAACAAAAAGAAAAAAAAAAGGTGAAAAGGACACAAATGTATCTGATTTCCATCAATTATCCATGCTTAAAGAAAGTCAAATATAATGAGAGAATATATGAAACATTTAATCTCAAGAATACACAAATTAAAATCATTGTATACACATATGTCACATAGGTTTATAATAACTTATAGAACTGTACACTAAAAAAGGACATGTTTTACCCTATGTAAATTATACTTTGATTTTTTAAAAGGCGAAAAGTTAATGTTACCTCAAAATAAATTCCATATTGACTTAAAAAGAATATAGTTCCCATGTATTGTGGCATACTCCTGTAATCCCAGCACTCAGGAGGCTGAGGAAGGAGGACTTCTGTGAGTTCAAGGCCAGTTTGAACTACAAAGTGAGTTCAAGGCCAGCCTGAACTGCACAGTGAACGCCTGTCTCAAGAAAAAAAAAAAAAACAAAAAAAAACAAGCAAATAAAAATAATGAGGTTGAAACTGTGTGATATTTAGAGGCTACCGAGGAGAATGGACCAAAACGGAAGTAGACTCAAGATATCTTCCATGAAAAGAGCAAGATATACCACTGTTGAGATAAAGGATAGAGGGCGGGCGTGGTGGTGCATGCCTGTAATCCCAGCACTCTGGAGGTTGAGGCAGGAGGATCGCTGTGAGTTCGAGACCAGCCTGGGCTACCAAGTGAGCTCAAGGCCAGCTTGAACTGCATAGCAGAGACCCTATCTCAAAAAGACAGGAAAAAAAAAAAAAAAGCATACAATGAGGCAAAGTATACCGGTGTATGTCTGTACTGAGCACTCTGGGAGACTGAGACAAGAGCATCTCATGTTTGAGCCCAGCCTGAGTAACTTAGAGACTTAATGACATTCTGTCTCAAAATTTAAAATCTTTAAAAACATGACTGGGGATGTGGCTCAGTGCCAAGATCCTGGGTGCGATCTCCAGTAAAACACGCATACACACACACATATACACACACCCCTCTAAATTTCCTTTAGATACTACCACCAGTGTAGCTGTAGTAGAGATAGCTGTTCACTAACAAAGAGCATCTCAAAAGCATAATCAGTGTGTCCTCCACCATCCTAAACAGAGAGTACCACGTGGTTTCCATTGTGCATTAAAATAAACTGGGCCTGTTTTTAGGTAACACTCCAGGTGGGTAAACGGCTTAACCAGTTGTCTTACAATGCCGTCATGGCCAATCATAAAGGATTCCTCACACCTCAACAAGGATGTGGACACCTAAGGTGCAGAGTGGCCAACACCACCATGCCAAAAGCTAGCAGTACTCATTTAGAAACTTTCCTAAAGGGGACAGCACTGTTTGTCCCCAGTGCTCTCCATCTTTGGGCACAAATGGCTCTCAGCTGAGAACAGAGATCTTGGTCATAGCAGCTGGGTCAGCCTGTTTCCCAGGACGGTGCAGCTGGACTGAGAGAAATGGTCAGCAAAATTCAAGCACCACACCCTAAGCACCCTAAGATCACCACTTTAAAGTGAGAGACTTAGATGTACCAATGGTTTGTCAATATTTCTAAATATGGCCAATGCAATTTCATTCCACAATATAGAAAAATAGTTTAGATTCAAAAAATAATTTAGATTCAAAAAACAAACAAATGTACATGCTCAGTCAGAGCTTATTGTCATAATGATAACTAGAGAGCATGAAAAAATATATTAAAAAAATATATATTGAAAACATGAAAAATATATATTGAAAACACTAATTTAAACTCTTCTGTGCTATATTCTATGACAGGCAGATATTACTGTTTGAAAAGAAGACAGTAAAAATATTAGACATAATTAGTTATAAACACTTCTGTTCCCCAAATATTTTCCATATTTTGTGACACACTCAATATCTGAGAATCTTCTTGGTCATAAGATATGCTGTACTAATGAATAAGTTAGGACTATTTTGTTTGCAAGTGAGAGAAGTCTGACCCAATGGTTTACTTAAACAAAGCAGAAATTTACTGTATTATGTAACCAAAAAAAGTCTAGGAATAGAGCTTGCCATTATGTTGGCTTCCATGCTAAAATGTTTCACCAGGGTCTGTCTGTCTGTCTGTCTGTCTCTCCCTCTCTCCCAGCTTTGTTCACAAACTGACTCCCACTCAAGCTATCAAGATTGCATCAGCAACTATGGGTCCCACAATCCCTCAGGCAAAATTCTAATAGCACAAAGAATCTCTCTTGCAAAGCCCCAGCCACTATCATTGCTTCTCATTGGTTCTGAATGAGGTTTCTGTTCATCAATAAGTCTGGCCACGAGAATGCAGCATTGGGATTGATTTGGGCCACAAGCTCTGTGCCTGCACCCAGGGTGAAGCCTTAGCCAAAGCAGCCCCATGGCGGGTGGGGTGGGGAGGAAGGCAGGGATTTACACAGAAGGGTGGCTGCATAGGGAGCACAGAAGAGAACAGCTGTCCATAAACAGCTGTGGCCTGAGGTAATTGGTGTGCAATGGAAATCCAATAGGAATGAACATCTGCCAAGAACAAGAAAGGCACACCGAGAGAAGGAGTGTAGGCTACAGGAGCAGTTATACCCATCACTCGGCATTAATATTTTAAATTATAGAAGTCAATGTTTCTGGACTTGATATGCAGTTTCAAAAAGAAGGAATAATTAATGTTTCTGGGCTTGACATGTAATTTCAAAAAGGAAGAATAATTGCTTTATTCTTCAAAACTTAAAAAAAAATCCATAAAATTAACTTTGAGAAGAAAATTTTATCCTGAGAATTACTGCAAATATGATTACACTCATCTAAATGCATGTCAGAAATTAAAGACAGTGCTGGGAATCAGCTACTGTCAGTTCTAGATGGAATGTGTAATTTGAAAAGGATTTATTCTTTTCCATGTAAGGCTCTATTCTAGAATATGTAAATTGGAAGTGATTTTGTATAACTTTTATAGTGGTTAAATAAAAGCTAGAGTGAAAAGTTTGGGGTAGAAGCACTGACTTTTAAAAATAGTTTTATTTTTAATTTCTATTAAATCTTTACTGGTAGTAGATTTAGTCCAATATTTTTTCTAAGTCACTACAGAGAATTAATTATCAGAAGAAGAAAAATATTTCTGAAGAGGCACTGGCCTGCATTTTGACATAGGGCCCAGGGAATTTAGTGTGCATAATTTCTCCTGAGCGCCTGTGGCAGGCACAATTGATAACCGCCCCAACAGCTATTTCCCACAGCTTTCTTACTTTAAAAAATTAAATACATAAATAAAATAACAGTCCTAGTTTGATCAGGCAGTGAACTATATGCCTAACTTTGCAGTCTAAGTAAATCCTGGCCCTCTCATTCTCTGCCCGTCTAGCAATAAACATGTGATTAATTTTGGCCCAAGAAGTCTGCTCAATTTTTCTTTCTGCTTAGAGGGACTTTAAAAAGAAGAGACAGCCCCTTTTGTCCAGTCTCCATTCCCTCTCAGACCCGGCCCTCTGAGGATAGAATGTTTAAAGCAGCTGTGCCATCTTATGGCTAAAACGGGAAAGCCAAGGGAATGGCAAATTTGTACCCAGATATCCAGCTGCGAAGCACCCCAGTGGGTTTAGACATTTAAGTAGCTTATTAAGGTCATGGGTTGAGCGGCTTTTAATTGGATATTTTGTTACTTTCAATTGGTCATTCCTAAATTATATAGTTCTTCTCCCAATTTCTGATCTTTGGTTGTCATACTAAATGCCACATGGCTAAATTTGGAGGTTATGTATTTCTCTTGCAAAGCCTAAAACAAAGGACTTCCAAAAATTCATTCTTGGAGAACAACTGTAGGGTAGGAAAAATTACCCTATTCATTTAAGTTTGATCCCAGGGTTTTAGAAAATCAAATTAGACCCTTTTCATTGTGTCCTTTGGAATGTCATTAAATAAGCGAATTAGTAAGAGAACATTCTCTCACAGCTGACACCTGTCCTTCTGTTTCAAACGTGACAATCAGTGAAATTTAAGGAGGAAAATTTTGCACCCATGATTTGGAAGAATTTCACTCAATTTCACTCTATGACAAGACCCAGCAGGCTGCTCCTGAAGGTAACAGGGGGTCTTACAACAAGAGGAGTTTAAAAATAAACATAATGACGGGAAATTTGTAAAGGAAAAAAATCAAACTAAATGTAGGAGTTAATTTTGTTACATAAAACTAAAGTTGCACATATTAATGAGGTAATATGTAATGCATCATGTATGTGTACATTTATCAGATTCAACATATTTATGTTTATATCAGGTTAAACATATTTAATTCCTTGAACATTTATCATTTATTTACATTAAAAACATTTAAAATCCTTTCTTCTAGCTTTTTGAAATGTACAGTACATTACATACATGTTATCTGTATATAAAGAAAATTTAAGTATCAGATGAAATTTAACTAGATGATCTTTATGGTTTACTTAACTGGAAGAGGCAAAGGTTTAAAGATTGTATGTTTTCATATCTTACAACTGACAGGAACATTTTTACTTGATTCTGTAAAACTATTTTTATTACCATCTACTTTCTTTAAGTATTTGATACATATTTTTTCCTTTGAACTGTCTGCTCTCTATCCTTAATATCATGCACCCAAATTCCAGCCTCTGCCTGTGTATTAAATGGTTCTAGTTTATTAATAACTTTGAAGATTCGAGCCAAATCTAACACATTTGTCCTAACCTTTATTGTCTTTGGAGACTGCTACCTCTGATTCTGCTTTCCAGACACTGCTTGGAGTTGTTTCTCTCCTTCCGTGACATTCTAGGAACTTGAATTTTTGTTTTATTTTGCTTTGTTTTGTGATCTTTAAGAAATAACTGAATCATGAGAGCAGGGAAAATTTTTTCTTAATTGTATACCTCCATGAAAAGAATTCTAGTTCAATGGATCAGTGTGAGTACTTTGGCCCAATACCCTATACTTTTAGGGTTTACATTTTCCCCAATCCTTTCCTCCAATTTTGTTTTGAAATTAGGGAGAAAGTGCATAATGGATGCTGGTTAGACTACCAAACTCTGTTCAATTTAATTTGGATTTAAAATTCATGAGGAAAAGGTTTTGGCATGTTTATTTAAAAAGTGACCAGTAGAAGCCAGGTGTGGTGGCTGTAATTCTAGCACCAAGGAGGTTGAGGCAGGAAGATAATGAATTCAAGACAGCCTGGGCAACACAGAGAATTTAAGACCAGGCTGGACTACCTCATGAGGCCCTTTTAAAAAAAAAAAGGCCAGTGATATGGGGAAGTAGCTCAGTGTAGCTAGTACAGGCAAAGTCCTAGGTTCAATCACAAAATAGTGATAATAATGATAATAATGTGGCCAAAGGGAACTTCTCAAAAAGAAACAGATTAACCATAACACAAAGAATAATAAATTAAATTATACTAAAACTAATAATGTCTATTCATCAAGACCTCATTATGAGATAGGAAAGGGAACCCGCAGAATGAGAAATCATTTCCATCAAATATTATTGAAAAAGGATTTGTATCTAGAATATATAAAGAACTCTTACATATCAATAAAGAATATCAACCCAATTAGATATTCATGAAGAATTCTGGAAGTTCCCCTTGAGAGGGCTGGTTTCAAATATTTGCTAACCCTAGAAAATCCAAAACCATCCTACAAAAATGTCAGCCAAGTAAGAACTTTCTTACCCCTCCTCTTGCCTTCCTACCCACTCCCTGTCTCACTTCTACCCTGCCTTGGCGCCAGGTTACTAACAAAGAGCATATAGCTTACAAATTGAGGAGAGTGAGGAAAAGATAAACAAGCACACACAGACTTGTACCTGCAGTCGGGCAAGAGGAGGAAATATTTAATTACTATATAGAGGCTGTTTTCATAGTGTTTCAGGGATATTTTCACCGGGTATAAAATTCTAGGTTGACAGCTGTTTACTTCAGCACATTAAAGGGACCATTCCTTAATCCTTTGGCTTCTGTAATTGCTACTGAGAAATTGGCAGTAAGTCTATCACATCTTTGAAGATAAAATTTTTGCTCTAATTTCTCCTAATACTCTATCTTAGCCTTGGATTTTCTGTTTCCTTGTGATGTGTCTATGTCTGGCTTTCTTTTTATGTGTTCTTGTAATTCATTGAGATTCTAAACATGTTAGATATTTTTATCCTATTCTGTCACATTTCTTTGTCCATTATTTTTTCTCTGTGTGCTTCATTCTGAATAGCTTCTTCTAATTTGTCTTCATGTATATTAATTCTTTTTAACTGTGCTGAATTTGTCCTTAAATCCATTCCGTGATTTCTTAACTTGGATTACTCTATTTTTCACCGTTAGAATTTCTATTTGGTTATTTTTAAACTCTAATGGTTTTGCTGTTGTTGCTGCTTTGTTGCAATGCTGGGGATTGAACTCAGGGCCTCATGCATGTGAGGCAAGTACTCTAGTACTGATGTAGACCCTCAGACCCATATTACAGTTGAGTTCTCTGATAAAATATCAAGCTTCATTTTCACTTTTATCTATTTGAATTTGATAAATGTGGTTGGGTACAATCTATATCTGGAGTCCTTGAAGATCTTTTTCTGTAGTCTGTTGTATTTTACATTTCGTGTTCATAGTGTTTTATCATTTTGTATGCTCAATTATTTCTTCCTGTGTCCCGACCATCATATTTTTAATTATTTGCAAAAATTATTTCAGGTATGCTTTGATGTTTCCTTTCTCCAAAGAAAAATTGTATTGCTTCTGCCGGATAATTGGGAAGGTTAATAATCTAAGTTTCAGGGTTGGCTTACCTTTGCTTCATCCTCATTTCTAGTGTTTGTCCTTTTAGTCCCAACTCAAAGATAGGACACTCCTAGATAATAACTCTTGTTCACTGACCCCCAAAGGCATTGCTACACCTCACAATCCCCTATCTGGATTACAAAATAGTCTCAAGACAAAAATGGTTCTGGTACTGCAATGGCAAGCAAGAAGACTGAAACAATGCCCAGGATTGGAGGCAGATTTATTTACATCAATGGGAACTGATCAAGATTATTCCCAGAATCTCAGGCCCTGATCTCTGGTGGTCTAGGGCTTATATGGGATAAGCAAGCAGGAAGTACAGAGGCAGAATGGCTTGCATTGGGGATTAGTTCTTACAATATGCATCACAGTGACCAGCTGTTTCTAGGAGACAGAAGCAACTGGAACTGGAACAGGAAATATCACCTGGGCAACTAAGAAACTGACATATACTGCCTGGAGGGGCCATTTTCTGTTACAGTACCATGCACATTGCTGCAAATTTTCATTTGTCCAGGATGTTAGCCCAGTAATTTCTTACTATTTTGTCTGCTTTTGAGGAGGGGTCTTTTTGAGACAGGGTTTCACTGTGCAGTTCAGGCTGGCCTTGAACTCACTTTGCAGTCCAGGCTGTCCTCAAACTCGTGGTGATCCTCCTGCCTCAGCATCCCGAGGGCTGGGATTACAGGCATGCATTACCACCTCCAGCTTTGTCTGCTATTTTTAGAAACATGATTTTATGTTTTGTCCCAGATTTCTAGTTGTCTTCAATGGGAATATTTATCTAAATTACTTAACTCATTCTTGAAAGAAGTCTAATTTCAACTTTTTATTTCCTCCTTTGATCTACCCTGTAACTCTTAGAGGAAGCAAAGATACAGAGGTAGTAACAAATATGATTTGGGTATTACCTTCTCCAATAATCTGTTATAGAGTTAAAACAAATCACCTAACATTTAGCTCTGAATTTGGGAGAAAATATTAAAATTAAGCTCTCTCCTGTTCAAGGAAATTAATTAAAGGAAATAGTAAAGAAACATATTAAAGAAAATTAATGAAAAAAGATAAATTATTCAGTCCTGAAAAAACTTTTATATTAGCCTCCAATACCTCTTAGCCTGTGCTATAAAGATAGCAAATTTACAACCAAATAAACTAAATAAAAGTAATCTTGGCTGCCCAAATACTCAGATTAAATCAAGATCTTAATAAGGCTAAATTTGACCATGTTTTGGGCCAATCACAGGTGACACATTTTTCTTCAGACTCTCTTCTCACTCAAGATGCAAAAACAATTCCTTTGCCAACAAATTTTTTAACAAGAGCCATTTTACTCTAGGATTTTTAAACCTTTAAAGCTGTATGGATGTCCAAGACTATAAACTATGCTGTAGATAAGGAAATCTAAAAACGTGACTAATGTAAGTAATAGCATTGTTAATGGGTTAACCAAAATCAACTAGGTAATGTGGCAGCAACAAACGATCTCCACATTTTGTTGATTTAACTTATTAAAGTTTCTTTTTCTCTCATACGATGTTGTCTGCAGGTAGTGCGGCTCTTCTAGACATCTCCCTTCCTCTAAGCTATTTCCATCTTGTCATTACAGTCTCAGTGTTTGAGACATCACGTTATGCTGATGCAGTGGCAGGAAAAGAGCGAGACAAAGAGAGGTAAAGTACTAACAAGTCCTTTTCTTTCTGTGCTTTGTCCCAGAAATGACACATGTCACTTTCACTCCCAACTCACTTGTCATAACTACTCACATAGACCACCCCCCAACTACAAGAGAGCTGGGAAATGTGGAGGAGTACATGGATATTCAATGACTAATAAATTATAATAAATTATATCACTTCAGATGTAATTGAACTTAAAATGAACTCCTTGAAGTTTCTCCAACTAAAAGTTATTTCCCAAACAGTATAAAAGCCACCAAGTGATCTCCAGTATTTGAAGAAGCAGACCCTATGCTGTCTCCCTGCTACAGGGGCTAATTTTTTAAGAGGTTCTTACAGCTTCAAAACATAAAACACAGCATGGAACTTCTTTTTCTTGGACAGCTGCCTTATATTCAAAGGAAGGAATTGGGCTAAATGAATTTTAATGTTACTTCAGAGCCCTTAAAATTATTGTTTGACTTCTAATACCAATTATTTTTTCATTTTAACTTGAAATATTTTTTTTAAGATTCTGAATTTTTAAATCAAAACTAAAATGATGCACTGCAAGTTCTAGTCCCAGGGTGGGGCAGTGCTAATAAAAGTGTTGGAGATTTGGGTAAATTTTTATACATCTGGTTTATGTCACATAGTGTATTTATCCAAAGACCATCATCTTTTAGGCAGCATAAATTAAAGAATGGAACCACCCTTCCTCAGGTTCAATGTCAAGGATGAGTTCAGTTTATTTTAAAAAGTAGCGTGACCTTACATCATTAAAACTGTGCTCTCTGTGCATAATTTAGCATGTCTGAATTTTAATAACAATGCTTTAGTAACAATTTCAGGAAATTTGCTAGTAATGCTTGCTGTGTTCTGTGTACTGAAAAAGACTGAGGGGTTACTGGTAATAGTCTAACATTGTGGTTACAAAATCAGATCTTACAAGATCTAAACAGATAACAAATGATGAAACAGATGACACAGGAATTGTGGAACAGTTAAGAATAGGACAAAGCTGTTAAAGTGGGGATCCAACATAAACCCATTGTTGCAATGCAAGAATTTGGCACCAATGTGCATAGATCCTCCAAAATTTCATGAGAAAAATAGAAGTCAGTAAATGATGTTTATGTAAATTCTGATTTCTATATGTAAGCAACTAATTCAAAATTAGTTTTAAGGCATCTTGATAGTCAGAGGAAACAGGTCTTTGTGAGTCACCAGTCTCCTCTCTCTACATTTTCCAAGGCATCTGGCAAAACAAATTTCCTGCTGAATGCTACCAGGGAAGCTTTGCTAGAGACCTAATGGAACAGAGCTCCCGCAAAAGGAGGACCCACGGCGTGGGAGGAGAAGTGAGGTGATGTTAAAAGAGAAAAGGTAGAGGGAGAGTAAGGAATAAAGAAGAGAGAAATTAAGAGGGGAATGGCTGAGAATAGAAGAGCCCAGGAAGTGTTGGGAGGAGGGAAGAAGCTTAGCTTTCTTTCTGCTCTTCCTCCTTTCTTAAGCTAAAGCAAAAGAAGAAAAACTAGGACAGCAAAGGCTATTACCTCAATGAAAGGGAAAATTAAAGCAACAATAAGGCTCTCTTGGCGATTGCTGTAGTTTGGATCTGCAATCTCTTCCAAAGGTCCATGTGTTAAAGGCCTAGTCCCACAGTTGCAGTCCTGGGAAGTGTTGGAGATATGAGGAGGTGGGGTGTTATGGTTTAGATCTAAAATAGCCCTAAAAGCATGATGTGTTTGAAGGGCAATTGGATTATGAAGGCGCTATAGCTGACCTGCTGTTGGGAGGTAGGTGTGTTCAGAAGGGGGGGGGCCCTGGAGTGTGACCTAGAAGTGTGTGCCTCCTTCCCTGGCCCCTCCCTTTACTCTCTGCTTCCTGGCTTCCATGATGTGAGTACCTTTCCTCTGTGGCAGACCCATCTACCACACCCTTTCCATCTTGGAGCCAGCTGACCACGGGCCGAAAACATGAGCCGAAATAAACCTCTCGCCTTTTAAATTGTGGGTGTCAGGTATTGTATCTCAGTGATGAGGAAAGTGACTAAGACATAGGGCACAGAGTTGGGCATTGTGGTACACGCTGTAATCACAGCACTCTGGAGGGGCTGAGGCAGGAGGAGGGAAAGTTAGTGCCAAACCTGGGCACCTTAGCAACTTAGTGAGAACCCTTCACATAGTAAAAAATTAAAAGGGTTGGGGATGTAGCTCAGGGGTGGAAAGCCCCAGAGTTCAATCTTCAGTAACTCTTTCCCCTAAAAAGCAGAGGTAGGGTCTAGCAGGAGGTCTTCTGGTCACTGGGGCATGCTCTCATGTCTTTTCCCCACTCATAAGATGAGTGGTGTTCTGCTTTATGGTCCCCACCATATCATGCTATTTTACCACAGACCCAAAAGCAATGGGCCCACCCAACCATGGACTGAAATCTCTAGAACTGTGACCCAAAATAAAACTTTCCCCTTTATAAGTTGGTGATCTCAGGGTTTTTGTTGCAGTAACAAAAAGCTGACTAATGCAGAAGTCAAGGACTAAAAATATATGAAGCCAAGATTAGTATCAATAGTAAGAAGGACTAATCTGTCCATAATTCTGTAATGTTTGTATTGTTCCTATGCTATTTCATAAATGGATGTATGTTTATTACTATGTGTTTCCTACAACAACGATTGAGAATAGTCAATGAATATTCAGTTGGTCCCTCATGTATAGCTCTATTTATTTTCTTTAGAAACCACTTTGAAGATACCAAAGTATAGCACAACAACCACTGATAATAACCTACCACTTTTGTCTGTAACTCAATATTATTTGTCTATTTGTTTTCCTGAGAAACTATCTTGTAGATAACAATATGTAAAACAACAACCATTGATAATTTCCTACCACTTTGTCTGTAATTCGGTAAGCCCCCCTACTACTATGTTATCCTCCTTTTACTCTTTAAAATAATTTAAAAAAAATAGTAAGTAGGAGCACTTACTATGTTCCAAGCAATATGCTAAGAGCTCTATATTTGCTTATTCATTTAATTCTCATAACCCCTGTGCAGTAAGGAATTTGGCTCCAAATTAAGTTCTGGCCTTTGTTCTAGCTCAGGGAGGTAACCTCTAGACCAGTGATGGCAAACCTTTTAGAGCTTTCAATGGTAAAAAGCTGTGGCATATGTGCCATAGGTTTGCCATCACTCTAGACTCTTCAAATGTTCCAGGTGACAGAAGTGTCATTAGTGAGCCCTTTGGATCACACCTGAGAGTTATCAGTAACCAGGGCACTCACAGTGGACTGCTAGATAGTTTATGAAAAAAAATTACCCCAAGATGGGGTCACTGCAGAAAGATAAACCACGTGATTAAAAGTTTGGAGTTTTGGGCCCTGTGATGTCAGCTGCCTGATTTCCAAAAAGAGGAGGGACATTGGCAATTGAGTTCATCCAAGTGGGTGATAATTCAATCAGTTGTGCCTATGTAGTGAAGTCCCATTCCAAATTCTGGACAGCAGAGTTCAGGTGAGTTTCCCTGGTTGGTCATTCATAGTCATTCATCCTCTTCCCCTCCCTCCTCCCTCCTTACACCACTACCGGGGGTTGAACCCAGGGAGTGTTACGCTTCATCCCCAGCCATTTTTAATTTTTTATGTTGAGACAGAGTCTCACTAGGTTGCTGAGGCTGATCTAAACTTGGATCCTGATGCCTCAGCTTCCCAAGTAGCTGGAATTACAGGCATGTACCACCATGCCTGACATGATACTCTCTAATATTGTCACATGTCATTGCTGGGAGGGTAACATATCCTGAGTGTTCTGCATTTGGTGCCCTCCAAGACTTCACCATATACTTCCATCCATGTGGCTGGTTCTAATTTGCATCCTTTCCCTGTAATAAAGCCAACTATGAGCACAATAGCTTTGAATGGTTTCTGTGAGTCTTTCTGGTGAATTATCAAACCTGTAAGTGGTTGTGGAAACCTCTGATTTTGTAGCCATTTGCTCTGTATGAGGGTAGCCCCAGGGACCTTGAAACTTGGAGCTGATGCATGATGTGAGGTCAGTCATTGGGGGATTGTACCTTTTGTACAGTTTGCTAAACTCCTTGGCAAGTATCTAACAGGTTTTTATAACCAAGGACTGGACTATACACAAAGCATTTGAATAAGTTGCCTGAATTCACACAGCTAGTGAGTGGAGAAGCCAGGATTCAAAATGGGCATTACAGTACAGCCATCATGTATTACTACTTGATCACCTCACTATGCAGTAATAAAGAACACCCAAAGTTGACTGAGTCACTCTATAATACATACATATATAAACACACCACTGCATACATCCCAAATATATACAACTTTTATCTATCAATTAAATCTTTTTTAAAAAAAAGAATACCTCACAGCACCTTAGAATAAGCTTGTTTAGAACTGTTTTCAAGTATATTGTGATCCATGGTAAGAAATCTTATGTTTGACATGACCATTCATCTCTCTCTCTCTCTCTCTCTCTCTCTCTCTCTCTCTCTCTCTCTCTCTCTCACACACACACACACACACACACACACACACACCACTGAAATAAATAAAAAATGTGACACACTCTGAAATTTTCTAGTCTCAATTATTTTTATTCCCTAAATTCTAGAATTCCACCAATATCTTTCCTACCTGTTTAAGAATTTTGTATCAATGATGTAAAACATGTTGGTTTAGAAAGTTGCTTTAAAATAGCACTTTCCAATTCTGGCTTTAATAGGAATAACCTAGGGGATTTTTCAAGAAAAACCCAAAGCCCAGGTCCTACCAACAAAGATTTTGACTCAGTTAATCTGCTATGGAATTTGGGCACCAACATTTTATATTTTTAAGTCTCTAGGTGATTCTAATGCATTGCCAGGGGTTGAGAACCACTATTCAAAAATAATACTGACTTTTTTGCCAGGTGTGGTGGCACATACCTCTAATCCCAGTGCTTGGGAGGCCGAGGCAGGAGGGTTACTGTGAGTTTGAGGACAGCCTGGG